AGAAGTTCAAATACTTCACTCCAAGCTCTTCTAGATGGTTTGTATTTAGAAATCTGCCATGAGTCTGATGAGCTTTCCTTTATAGGTTATCTGTTTCTTTCCTCTAACAGCTGTTAATAGTCTGTTCTTGTGCTGAATTTCTGGAATCTTGATTATTACATGTGTGGTTGTAGATTTCTTTTGGTTATGGCTAATTGGATTTCTTTATGACTCACTTAAGTGTATATCAGATTCTTTTCCCATGCTTGGGAATTTTTCTGCTATTACTTCTGCATAATCTTTTTATGTCATTTGTGTTGACTCCTGCTTTTTTGTTGACACTTATCAGTCTTATATCAGTTTTATTTGCATCATCTTGCAGGTACTTAATTCTTATTTGCTGGTTCCTTGTTATTTTTAGAGATCTTTCTTTACATAATTGCTAGCTGCAATCTTGTCTTTAAGGTCTGAGAATCTCTCTTCAGTTTTGTTCAAGCAGTTCTGTCAGTTTTCAGGGAATTTTTAATTTTCGAGACATATCTTTAAATCTGTTTCATGCATTCTAATCCTTGTTCTTTGAAGGTTTCCCTAGTTTTCTTATGCTTCTCTATTTTTTTTAAATCTATGTCTCCTTTATATGTGCTGCACAATTCTTTCATTATGGTTGTAGTTTTTTTTTTTTTTTTTCCTGAGAGTTTATTTCTTATCTGATTTCCTCCATAAACTCCTGGAGTTGTTTCTTTATTTCAGTTGCAATCATTTCAGAAATATCAGGTGTGTGTCTGCCAATTTCTTCTATGTCGAAGTCTCCTGGATTTGTTCTGAGTGGGCTGGAGGTCTGAAATTGCAGCTCCTGTGATGGCTCGCAAGATGGTGGAGGGGTGATGGGCCTTTCCTGCTTTTTTTGCATGTCTGATAATTTTGCACAGTTGCAAGACATTTATGTGATTTGCAAAATTTACATAAATGTGTTCTAGATTTTGTTGTATTCCTTTAAAGTTGGTGCATGAATTTTTAAAATGTTTTAGTTTTGGTTGTTTTTTAAAAGAATATTGGCCTTTCTTCTGGAATGTATTTACATGATTTGTATCAGTCTTGTTTCTTTGAAGCATGTTTTGTAATCTTTGAAATGGCAGTTTTGGACTAGCTTTTTCTTTAGGATAATTCAAGCCTGGAAAATGTACTAATATCCTTGCCCCGCTCAGAGGTCCCAACAGGTATGTTATGCACTATAAGGCCTTTTCATTTTGGTTGATGGATATACACACATCAGTTTTGTTTCTATGTGAAATTCAATAATTGTTCAGCCTGCTACTTTCTGCATCCTGGGGTAATTTTTTTTTTCTCCTGTGTGTATCAATAAATACATAGTCAAAGACAAGATCAAATTCCCCTGTCACTCATTCTGATTTGTTCACTCAGCAGGATTCTCATTCTTTGCCTTCCTCCTTCCTCCTATTTGTTAAACTATGTCTAGGTAGTAAAGGACAATCAAAGGTTTTTTTTTTTAAATCTCATTTGTCTTTCTCTCAGTGGACATAGTTCTGGCTCTGTTTTGTACAGCTTCTAGAAACTGTGCTTTCACATATACTATCCTGCTTTCTAGTTTAAGGATAGTGGTAAGAATCCAGATCCTGTTCTAGTTTGGCCAGAAGTACCTACTAGTAATGTTGGAAATCCTCATTTAGGTGAAAATGTTTTAATAAATAAAGAATTAAATATTGTTTTGTTTCTTGTGGTAAAATACATGATATGAACTTGACCAGGTTACCAGTTGTAAGGGATCTGCTTTACCTAGTTGGTTTGTGTAATCCAGAAAAGTCCGTATGGACACATAAAAGTCAGTATTATGCCATTCATCTGTTGATTATGTAGTAGGTTGCTTCTGCCTTTTAATGACTATAAATAATTTTATTCTGAATACTAGTTTAAAAATGTATGTTTGAATCCTTACTCATTTCTTTTGGTTATGAAAGAATATTTGTATTCACTTATTGTGTATGCTTACATAAGATTTAGAATTCTAGTTACCAAATCATTTTAATTACCAGAGCCATATTTTAGGGGGAAAAAATGTCACATTTGCTGAGTACTATATTTAGGTTATGTGGCTTCAGGTTACTATATATTTTAGAGGACTGAAGGACTCTTCAATGGAATTCATTTATTATACTTGGTATTTTGAATAACCCAGTGCCTTTGGAGCCCAGTTTCAGAGTAATGGAACTTTACAATATTCCTCATACAAAAGAAGAAAACTAATTTCTGACAGTTTCTTTCTATATGTCTTCTAAATACTAATAAAAAAAAGTCTGTATGAGGTTCTATGGCTGACAGAGGAGATTTGAGGAATGCGTTTTTATTCATTTTACCATTCAGAGAAATATTTTGATCAAAGCAAAAACATTTTGAATTTATAATTATTTATTTTCATATAATGGAAGAAAATATTATAAGGTTAATAAGAGATGTAAAATTGTCATGTGATTTTGAAAGAGCAATAGGCTAGATTTTGCAAAATGTATTTATTTTATTAAACCTGATTGGTAGTAAGCTGTACTTTCAGACAAGCCATTGTATGTCTCTGAGCTCATTTCCTTTTCTGATAGACAGTGAATGATAATTCTTGTTATTATTTCATAGAGTTGCGATGATCAAATGATCAAATAATGTAAATACGTTGAAATCTTTAAGGAGATATGTAGATGTAATTCTGCATTTCTTGGTCTAAGCTGATAGAAACAGAAAATGCCTATTAGATACAACACATCTGCTCATGTATTGGAGAGTTTCTGTGTGTCTGATTCAACTGTGAAGGATGACTGTGGAGTGAAGGAATCTAGTTTTGCCCCAGAACATCAATGCATTGGATGGAGAGCAGTGAGAATCTTTTAGCAACTCCAAGCCAATTTTTCATATTCCTGTCTTTATTTTGAAAAGATTTAGATGATTCTCAGAACTTTACCAATGGGTGAGGAATTGTCAGCATATGTTCCTTTTAAACCCAGTGTGAATGTTATGTGACATTTCTGTTTTACTAGAGTTTGTGAGCATTTTTTATGTTGAAAATGGCATATCTTTTTGTGAGTTGAGGTTTATTTGGTGAGAAATTTGAAGACTACTGAATGATGGTTTTTAAAATGAAATTTCTGATGGTTCTATATGATTGTGTTCTATAAAGAGGTAAATAAAATACCTTTTTCTCTAGCATATTTTGATGATATACAATATAGATGGACTTGTTATGTCTTTGTAAATGATATGGTGTTACTTTCCAGATACTTCTTTGGTAGAAAAGGGACTAGTTTGCCTTACAATAAGTTCTAGAAGCTTTTGCCTTCAGGAACTTGAGTTAGAATGAGAGAACTAAATATCTCACTTTTTCTTCATTTCAAAAAATGATTTCAAAACTTTTTGTAATTTAATACATTTGAACTTTATTTTTTGATCTTAGAAATGTTTATATGATGACACACAGTGTCTCAAGATAATATGATCCTCAGTGAAATCAAATATTTGATTCTGGGGATGGAGCAGATAGAAGCTTAACCTAGAGGTAAGATTATGTCTAAAGGGACACAAAACAACTAAATGAGCTTATAATGACCATGATTGAAAAAATTTGAGAAACAAAATAAATGAAATAATATTTGATTGTTACTTAAAGTACAAAATACATACTTATGAGCTCATACTAGTTTTAAATAAATGATTAAATGATTGTGTCAATGGACTGAGACAAATTTTACACACAAAGAATTATAAATATCTAGATATTCCTTACTCCAGGAGGCACAGCCTAATTCCACCCTTCTTCCTTGAGGGTAGGCCAGAGTTTATGCCTTTTAAAGAATGGATCATGGACAAGGACATAGAAATGGTGATAGAGAAGGCTGGGAAATACTGTGTTAACCAAGTGATGAAGGTTAATGTCACTTGTAGTGTTCCATGTGTATCATGCCCCCTTTGGCATGATGTTCTAACTGCAGTTCCCCTCAGTGGAATTCTTTTAAAAAAACAAACAAACAAACAAAAACCAACCTTCTAGCTCTAACACTAGAGGAAGAAAAAGCATCCCATGAGAAAACATCAGATACCCTCAAGTTGGGGGTCATTCTAGAAGTACCTGAGCAGTATTCCTCAAAGCTGTGAAGGTCATGGAAAAGAAGGAAAGTCTAAGAACCGTCACAGACCAGACAGGAGACAGAAAAGAAATGATAACTCCCTGCAGTGTAGTAATCTGAGTGGGATTGTGGAACAGAAAATGGACACTAGTGTAGAAAACTGGTGAGATACAAGTGTGCTTCACTAAGGTTGGCAGTAATACACCAGCATAGGTGGCTTCATTTTGACGAATGTACCACGGTGATATAAAATGTTAACATTAGGGGAGACTGAGCAAAGGGTGTATGGACACCCTGTACTGTCTTTCAGTATTTCCATAATTCTAAGCTTATCTCAGAATAAAATTTTGGAATTTTGCTTATTTAAAAAGAAAAAAAACCCAATTCATTAATTTTTTTGATTGTGTGAAATCAAATGATGTGAAGAATACAAATTGTTCTGTGTCAACTCATTTTTTACAGCTAGCATGTTTTGTTTACTGCTTGCCCTCTAGTTAATACATTGTCACTATTTGGATCTGTAAGTTCCCTCATCAATAAATAAAATTTCATTCGTGTGTAAGGTTTAATAATCTTCAAAAAGTCGTGTTTATGTCTGAAACTTTTATAGTATAAAATAAGGTTAATAAAATACTAGTTAAAAGTTTTTTATTTTGAAGGGAAGAAGTTAGTAACATTATAATGGTATGGAGGATCTGACGTATGATTGTTTTGAAAAATAGAATTTTGATAGACTTATATTAATACTGGCCTTGATCATAATACAACGTTTTGGGAACTTCAAGACTTCGTAAAATAGCATAACAAATTAATCTAATGAATACCTGAAATAATTTAAAATATAAACTTTGATATTAACTATGAAAAAACGTATAAAGAAATTTCATTTTTTTCTAGATTTATTATCTAGGATAGATTTGGATGAACTAATGAAAAAAGATGAACCACCTCTTGATTTTCCTGATACCCTGGAAGGATTTGAATATGCCTTTAATGAAAGTAAGTGGATATTATATGCCAAATGTGTTTAACAGTGTTAAAAGGATGCTAGGGTCGACATTATTTGCTACATTTAAAGTCCAGCTGCAATGTTGTATGTATTTGTTATGAGAAATGATACTTTGTGTGATGAAATCCTTCACAGAAATGTAAGAATCAAGTAACAATTTTCTGTAGTTGTCAGCTCACATAAACTGATGGACATGAATTTGATCAAGTTTATGCATTTCGACCTTGAGTGTTCAGCAACCTGATATGCAGCTGAACTCCTAATTAAATTATACAGAAAGATGGAAAGATGCTACTGCTTCACATGCTATTTAAAGTGAAATGGCTGGCAATTATTTGTGACACTATTTTAAAGGAAATTACTCAGTTTTCCACATTTTTTCAGGCAATAACCTTGTCTTAAAATTCATTAAGTTGTGAATAAAACAGTCTTTATACTTGCCATGTGGAGGAACATATTGTAATTGCAGATATGTTTCTGGAACAAAGAATCATGATTCATTGGATTAATAATACACTGTTATACTTGAAGGGTAATGTTATTAGAGTATAGGTAGCTTTTGAGTTGTAGTTTTCTGTTCGTTGTTGTTCTCCGTCAACTAAATTGGTGATCTGTCATCATTTTATTTTGGATATCCCATTACAGTATCAGTTAAAGGTGTCAGGGCTTTAATCTTAGTGTACTACAAAGTTAAGTGAGTTTAAGCAGAAGATTCTTGAAACTTTGATCTTTGTTACATATTTTAAATTTTTTATAAAAGATGTATGATGCCAGTATGTGTATAAGTAGTGATATTGTTGCCTGGAAGTGAGGAAAGGTTAAAGCAATGGGCCTGTAGTCTGTTTTTCTCTTGATTACCATGAGAATATTTGTGGGGAAGGAAAAATGACACACAGACTATCTTTTCTTCTCAAAAGATGCTGGTAGTTAAAGCTCTTAGTAAATACAGTATTTTCTCTGAGAAAAGTCTTTATCTGTGGAATACATTGACATCCCTGACTGGTTCACCATTACTCATAATAAAGTCTTTGATGTCTGAGGGATATTTCTCTTAATGTTATCACAGAAGCACTATAACTCTTTGGCATATAGAACCAAAATATCTTGACTAAAATGCTCACCAGAGTGTGAAGTAACCTGTCTGCCTTATGTAAGAGACCTCATCTGGAGTCCATTTCACTGAGTCTGATTTCATAGTCTGAACCTGTGTTAGCTCACTACCTCTTTCCCATTTCCTTTCGATATCTTACTCATGTGTTAACACCTACTTGAAAAAGTTCACTGAAACCTTTTCCCCCTTCTGAAGCATAGGATTCTTCCTTTTTCCAGAATTATTTTAAACTTCGTCTGCAGAAATAACCCATTGTTTCTGGTTTAATTTCCTGAAAAGTTGCTTAGCTTATTAATATTTATGCTTTTACTCTATAGGTGGGCTCTAAACCCATGAGAATTGGGACTATGTTCATGGCAATATTTGGTAGAGATTCTCATATGTAGTAGGTCCTAAAATATTGTTAGTTTGCTTTATATTAGTGTGATGAAGCCTGACAATAGCTTTTGAGTCGTTAGGGACTGTTCTTTTATACTTGTAACAGTTCGCATCATATTGATATTAGAAGAAAAGATCAAGAGAAAAAATAAACTGAGACAGTTCCATTTTTATCAGACACTATTTGTTATACTTTCTGTATTATTTTAGATGTACTCTGAAGCATTGCAATACTTGTTTTCTAGAGGGGCAGTTAAGACACATCAAAACTGGGGAACCGTTTGTTTTTAACTACCGGGAAGACTTGCACAGATGGAACCAGAAAAGATACGAAGCTCTGGGAGAGGTATGTCATATGTACTTTCGAACTTTCTGTTTTCCAGTTGTAAATACTCAGAATAAATGTTCTGAAAATGTAGCAGTTTATGCATCTTGAAGGGAATAAAAAAATTAAGATGTATTATATACATGTACTAATTCCCTAGATGAATGTAATCAATGTTGACTGCAAATATGTACTAATAAACATAAAGTTTTTGCTTTATTTGGTTATTTTTAAATGGCCATGTTAGAAACATGTTCTTAGTTTAAAAGTCTCTGTTATATATAAATATATCCTTCCTGTGACCTGAAAATTTTGTAGTGAGCCCTTCCATAGGAAAACAAATTTATGCCAAATTATATCTTTTAAATGTTAAGAGGTGAAGTCTTCCAGTGTACCAAGAGAAATAAGTGTTCTTTATAGTGCTTATTTACATGAGGAAGACTGATTTTTGGCCACATTAGTTGAGTCTAGCCTACTTACCTTTGACTTGAGAAGGGATTAGGTCTTGTGAAATTTAGAAGTCTCACATGATAAAATTGGTAGAAACCTTTGAAAATGTCACTTGTAACTTTGGTGAATATTTCATTAAAGAAAAAAATTTTGCTCATTCTGTATCATATCATTTTCTTTTTAATAAAATACATATGGATACATTTGTTTAGTGGGGTAACTAGACAGTTACTTTACTTTTCTAAGGATAAGCTGAAATTTATATTTTCCATTTTGACTGTTTAATAAAGTAATGAATTTGACTTGATTAAATAACTACATAAAGAATATATGGTAGCGTAAAACAGCCTAAAGAATTTATAGTGTGCTGGGAGATAATTTTCCTTGGGTCTTTTGCATTTCTGCATGTCCCTGAGCAAAGCCTTTGACAATTTTTGCTCCAGACTGTTTTTTCAAGGATATTTGTACAGTAAACAGGCATCAAAGGTAAAGATTGTATCTCCTGACAAGGCAGTAGGAAATTGCGTTTGGTATTTAAGATAATAAATACAGCGCTCCTGATTTCCCTTCCTGATAGCAAAGAATGGTAGGTTCACTGGCAGCGTCTTTAGAAGGTTGGGTTTACAGAATTTGAAGTTCCTTAGTTGTGGCAAAATCTCACTGCATGCTTGATGCCCACCTGGGCCTATCTACATTGTGTTCTTTGGAATTTGAGGGGCAAGAGATACAGATGAATGTATGAAGCTTTCGCTGCCTGCTGTCCTTGATTTTAAAAGTCTTTTATTTCTGATCCCAGCATGTGGCATCTTCTGGCAGCTTCTGTAAGACAGGGCAGGAGAACCTATTATCTTGTCCTTAGTGGGAAAAGCTCAGCATTAATGACCCTGAACAGTTCTTAATAGCGTATCTAGCATTTATAACTTAGATATATTCAATGACCAGAATAATTTCCACTTTATATTTAAAAATGACCTTCTCATTTCTCATGTATGCTGCCAATTGGTTGTGTTTTGATTATAGGATAACCAAACTACATTAGAGAAGAGGTAGTGTTCTTTGTTCGTTTTTAAATGGATACTGTATTTTAATCCTTTTGTTGCTATTCTCCCAACATACTTTGTCTTTTTTGGCATCTACACCTTTTTTACTCTCTAGCTATATTTTTTAACATCTATATCACCACTCATCTAGTGTATCTTGTCTGATTATCTCATTTGCAAATGGTTCCTTTCTCCCAGGATCTCGTATCTAATTATTTGGATATAATCTTCTTGGTGGACCTTATTCCATGAGAATTAAAGTGTTTTGAGCTTTCACATTGATGAGTATTTCTATAGTGAGGGCATATTCTGTATTATCTACGTTACCCCCTGGTGTGCTTGCATTCAGATTTGTAATAACAATCAAGTTGGGCTCAAGTGATTATCCAAAGCCATAGCATTTAAACTTAACAAAATGTTTCTTAAATCTTTGTTCCATTAAATCAACATTTGTTAAATGAATAAAGTTGTCAAGTTCAAGTACCAGTGCCTTTTCTTTCCAAATATATGCGTCAAAAGTAAACATAATTTCCTAACATAAAATTCACCACAATGAAAGAAGCAGGGATGGGAAATGGAAAATGGGTTTGGTTGTCACAGTTTTTGTCCCACATGCTCTTGATTCTCATACCATGTTTTAATACATGTGCCATTGCTAGTTTTACTGTTGAAGGTTGTTTTTTAATTGAACTTCATTTTCTGTATCTTAGGAGTGAGTTTTGCATGCGGTCTAGCCGTGCACTGATTGTGACACAGTTTTCACTGTAGTGAATCAGTTTCTTTAGAGTTCATTATAGCAGTCTTGAACAAATTGGTGGACCTCTCTTTTCATTCATGTTCCTTCATTTCCAGTTCTGAACCATGTCTTTCAGTCAAACTTAACCATCTGCTGTTCTTCTCTCACACCTTGTTCTTTCCTCTAAAACTGCCTTACCCTCTTGACATGCCCTCCGGCTTGTCTAAAGCTCTCACCTCCACTGGCCTTCCGAGTGGGGCTGTCTCCTACAGCCTCTAGGAGGCCTTCCCTCATCCCCTCTACTATGGTCGTTCTCTCTTCTCAGCCTCCTTTTGTCTCCTGCCCTTTTCCTTCCTATTTTGTGTTGTGTGGAAATTGATTAAAGGCCATATTAAAGATGAATGCTATGGTTAAAAATGAAAATAAAGATTTTTTTTAAAGAAAATGTTAGCAAAATAAAAGCATACATTGGACTTTAAAAAAAAAACACATATATTTAAACAATTTGGGAAAAGTTTCTGTGTCCTCAATATTTGTTGAACAATAAATGTGACACAAATGCATATGCTTTTTAATATAAATTCTGAATCTTGGCGTATTAGAAAATTTCTCAGGGTAAGGAATTTAAACAGAAAGATGTATATTTTCTTACTGGAAGAAGAGAAAATTATAATGGTAATTTTCTATTTGTAAAGCTAAATAAATTTTTATTATTTCAATTTAGTTCCCTTCTAAGATCTAGAAATTTCAGATTAGCTCTGAAGCTTTTTTCAGAAAGCTTTGTTGATTAAGATTATTTGGTAACAATGGTTAGTACATTGCATATTGTTATCTTCAAAGTAGTTGCTCGTCTTACAAGATACAGGCATGAACAATTGATCAATCAATCATCAATCTAAGCATATGCCTTTCCTTCCAAAGAGCTAATAGCAATTAGTAGTAAAACTATTACTCTTATGCAATCTTGTTTTGAAATTTTATACCATTGTTTTCATTGTTTATTTTTTTTTTCTTAAAAAAAATAAAAACATTCGGTAAGAAGGGACTGTAAATGTGTTATAATGTATTTAAAGATTTTATCCTTCACAGCAAGCTTCAGACTTTTATCAATAAATTTAGAAAATGCATGTTCTTGTATAACTGTGCACAGTGCAAACAAATAAACCTTTGTATTTAAGTTCTAGAAATAACTTAATGCTTAGTATTACGGCTGAGAGTTCTAACTCCATTAAGCGAGAACCTATGAAAGTGTGTCACCAAGACCTGGACAGAAAAGCACTGAAACCCTGCTTTGTCTTCTTGCTGGTCAAGGGAAGGATTCAGAAGACACTGCACATTTGCGTTTTCTCCTTGAGAGCCTGCTTTAGTAAACAGAATTCGCCATGCTTAGTCTTGGAAGTTTTAAAGAAACAGGTTTTGATTTCAAGCAGTACCCTAAAAGAAAATTTCTTTTTTCCTTAAAGTAGGTTCCTACTGAATATCACATTTTGTCTTTACCAAAAGCTACTATATATGTTTCGCAACTGCCGTTTTAGTTTATGTTTATTTCTCTCTTAAGGAGATTATTATAGCAATCATTCAGCAGAAATTGTTTTTAAGACTTGTTCCTGAAATGCTCTATCATTTCTATGTAAATTAAACTTACGGTGTAAGTAAAATAAACTGAGATGTCAGTTTGTTTATAGAATGTAGTGCTGTAATACACAAAATAATACATTCACACAGTTGCATTTTTATAGTCAAATGCTTTTGCTAATATGTGTCTTGTATTTTCTATCCACATATGGCACAAAAATATATAGTCCTTAATAAGTTTGGATAAATTCATTAAGCTTAAAAAGATACTGTCAGTTTAAGAAGGTGGGACAGTGATGTAAAAGGGTAGTTTTCAAAATAGAAGTCTTGAACATACATATTAGAGTTGAATGCCAAGAAATAATGTGTCTGTTACACAGAAGTAGAAAGGCTGTCATGTTAAGTAGTAAATAGTGTGGTAGAAACAGCAGCATGTAACTTGTGAATGTTTCAATGATCTCTTTCACATCAATATTGAGTTAGTATTAAATGGAGAATTTATACTCCAACAGAAATTATATTGAAAGATTTGATTTTCTTGTCTAATTTAAGTCTTTGAATTTTCTGTAAAATATATCTTGATAGCCTCTTTAGCAATTAATAAATTGTCAATGTGCTTAATAAGAAGATAGCCATCTTAATAAGATTAGGTAATTTTAAAGCATGGCTCTTTATTAAGGGACTTGTTCCTGGTTTTAAATACTTAATATAGGGCCAGGGATTTAACTCAGTAGTGCAGTGCCTGCCTGGCAAGCATGAGATCCTAAGTTCAATTCCTGGTACCAAAATCAAAAAAACGAAATATAGTCATTGGAGAAAAAAAAAAAAAAAACCCAGCCTACAAATAATCCCACTTGCCCATATTCTTTAATAAATCTCATTTACAAAAATGTAATTTTTCTGTAAGTTTCCACTATTTTATAAGACATATCACTAATTTAGAACCAGGAGGAAAAGTTAACACCCTTACTTGTTTCTGTGTGATCCTACCCTTAATAAAAAGCCATGGTAGTAATGATTATGGTTTTAAAATATTATTTCCTATTAAAACAACCTGAAATTTTTAGAGAAATGTCTAACTCTAGACATTTCTGAGACTAGAAATAAATGCCCTGAATCTAGAATATCTTGTTTTGTCAGATATACCAAAGACTACATACTTTTTTAAAACTCAAGAAGTCAAAGACAACAAAGAAAGCAACAGCAATGAAAACCTGCCC